TAAATATAAAGACTATCAAAAAATTAAGAGTCTGAATGTAAAACAGGCACCAGGCACCCATTCCTCTCCATTACACTAAGTCAACTTATCCTTTCTCATCCTGGACACACCATCACAGTTGCAAACATAGGAAGTCTAAGCTCTTTTTTAGATAAAACAAAAATCAAGCCCTGAGTATTGGATTCACATTTAGGATTCAAAGATTGAATCATAATAAACATTTCATGATGAAAAACTCTGGAATTTTTAAATCTTAAACCAGTCTTCCTCTCCCCATTCATCCTTACTTTTCAGAGCTATCATGCAAACAAACTGTATCAAAACATGGCTTCAATTACATTTAAAAGAAATATATTTTTTTTCCTGAATAGATCAACAATATAAATTAACACAGGTGGAAACCCTAGAAATTGCCTGGCTGCCTTAATAACCCCAAAGGAAACATTTATTTTAGCCAAACAATTGTAATGTTTGTCTCCTTTTTAGAAACATCTGCTGCCAAAATAAACATTTGCATTGGAAGAAGTGTTTTGGCTGTTAAGAAGGTACCAAATAAAATGCTTATGCTCTGAAATAAATATTTTACTCAAAAAACATGCAGCAAAATTAGAATACCAATCTTTTTCAAGCCCTCTTCAAGGAAACCTGTTTTGAATTGTTTTTACTTCAATATGAAGTAATAAGTTCAGATGAATCACCTTAACAAAAATAATTAGTTTATATTTAATTTTGCCATTTTCTATTTCAAAACAAGGATCATCTTCTATGTTCCTACTTTAAAGTTCTTCACAATACAGATACGCCTTTAAAAACTAAAAGTCATGTTTTCCCATCATAAAAGCACGCATGAACTTAAATCTCTCATTTTGCTTTTTTTTTTTTGCCGTTTTATAATTCCAACAGGCATATTATCAAACATCTATAAGAACAATTAAAATATCAACCGAATTACAAAAAAAACTCAGGGAAAATCTTAGTCCACATAATTGAAATCTACTTGACACAAATAAATAGCTTAGCTTCTGTAAGCTATTTCTCCTGGGTGCCATTTTATATGAAAATATTATTTAAAACAAGTTGGCAAAGGCCTAGGTGTACATTTATGATCATCAAGGACAAGAACAATGAAACAAAATCAGCATTCCTGATCCAGCAAAGTATATCTTGGTGTCTTTAAGGTTGGTTTTTTTTTTTTTTTTTTTAATCTGAAAAACTCAAGAGTCAGATTCTAGTAACCTCAAAAATTATGCATCTTCTGTATAGCTGTCTAATAGATTAAATCAGCCAAAGTACTTCTGTTAACCAACCCCAGGTCTGAATTCCAGAAGCCTGGAGGCAGAACATTCTCCACAGAGGCATAGAAAATTCATTTCCCCCCTGAACTCAATAAAAACTCAAGTAGACTAGTTTTTAGGGCACCGTGCAAAACTAATCTGTTTAGCCATGTATTTGCCTGATGATGTGGGAGAATCAGCAAGTGAAAGACCACAAATCTAGTTCCAGTTAATAAAGACTAAAATGATGTACTATTATCACGTCATGCTTCAAAGATCCAGTCATGAGTATATCTCAAAAACACAATTATCACCATACAAATCAAAGACCACCAGGGTAATACTAAAATCAAACACAGTCAGTGGCCAGTTCCTTCAGACTTTCAGAGACAAAAAAATAAACAGTGATACTCTCCATGTTAAATTTCACATCAGCACTGCAGTTCTTTCTAACAAAATACTCATTTAAAATTCATATCACAGGAGCAGAATGCCAGCCAGGAATCAAACTGTGACCCCTGAGCCAAAGACAACTTACCACTCAGCTGGTAAGTGGGCAACTCAATTTACAAACTTGAATTCCTGCATTTTAATCCTGTGCAGAAATATATGAGCAGTATTAAATGAACTGGATTCAGCTCATTAGAGGTTCACAAACCAAACACAGAAAGTTCTGGAAGCTATCCAAAGCAAAGTCATGCCTAGGTGGTGATGTCCACTCAATAAATACTCAATGTCATAATTATCTTTCAACTTTTTCCCCGAAGAACATTATTAGCCCCAACTACAACAAAGGTTAGCCAATTACATTAATCCTAAGGGAAGATGGATAGGACCAGCAGCCAATCACAGTGCCAGGACCTTCTTTGTGGACAAATTTATAATTATCCGAAATTCAGAAACAAAGCAATTCACTGAAAATTCCTCCACAAAGAACACAGGCTTAAGCTAACAAAATGAATGCATGTGCTCTAATAACCTTTGCTCTAGATCTTCACTATTTTTTTCCATTTCAAAAACTATTAAGAACTGTTCACATGACCTTGGTATTATAAAAGCTGTATGTCTTCTTTAAAATGTTATACACATTCAAAAGTGCATTCCGTTATTTTTAACCTTTTAAATTTTAAAACAAGATACTATATTTCAAAGCTGTATTTAACTAAATGAAAGGGTAAAAAGGCAATACAGATTATTTAGACCTATGACTTTGATTAACTCATTATGAAAGTTCAACACTTCTGCAGCCAGGATATTCAATTTCTTACCAGATATACTATTTTCCTTTCATTATCAGAAAGATCTGTGCTTAATTAGAACTGAGTATTTCTTTTGGTTAGCAGTAAAATATCTAATCTAAAATCTTAATTAAAAATTTGCTGAAATACTTGATGGGCAATCTACATCAATTTGTTCCTTCAAATAAATCTAAGAGTCATTGGATTTAAAAAGTGTGTAAGAGTCACAGGGATTAAATAAATAGAAGCTAAGAAAATAGAGATTACTCTATATATTTGTGTATGTCCTCTACTTTTAGCTTTACACATTTGGGAAAGAAAATAATGAAAAACATTTCCTAGGTAATCATTCTTCACACACCCTCTCCATTTGTTTGACTCCCACTTTGGGACTGGAAACTAAGCCAACATCTAGAACTTCTAGTAAGACTTAACTCCTTCAGAGACCAGGGAGATCCGGCTGCTTGCCATGAACAGCACCTTTTGAAACTGACTTTTTAATCTTACATCAGGGAAACATGCTGAAAAGCACGGTGGGGAGACCAAGAGTGGCGAGCATCCACTTCTCTCCACCTGTCCCACTACTTCTTACTACCCTCCCGCCTCTGCTCTCTTCCTGTGGCCAGAGCATCATCCACAACTATTAGCTCCCACATAAAATCAACAACGGAGTGCAATGGGGACTTTAGCAGCCAGCTGCCTGAGCCATCTTCCTCTCAGCTAAAGGTGAAGTTGCTTTAAAACTAAAATGAAGGAGAGAAAATTGCAACTCTTTCACCTTGCTTTTCATCATTTACAAATTATTTCCCTCTCACAATTAGCAGCCACAACTAAAGATTTTTACCCTAGGCAGCAAAATATTGCTGGAAAAAAAGGAGTAACGTGGAAAACATTAAAAGAACAATTAAGTATGCAACTGACTGCTAGAATTCTGAGTGGATAACCTTCAGTAATTGAAGGGTGAGGTCTTCTGACAACAGCAAAGGGTGTTCAATCTGCATCTAGGATTCAAAGGCTGAGCTACCTCTATTTTCCCCCATAATGGCCTTAACATAAAAAAAAATCATCCAAGTGGGAGCAAAGATAAAGAGGAAAGACAGCTTTTTATTTCTTATTATATAAATAAAAGACTTATTTTATTTCTTTTTTTTTTTTTAGGGTCTCGATACATCGCCTAGGTTGGACTCGAATTCCTGGGCTCAAGCGATCCTCCCACTTGAGCCTCCCGAATAGCTGGAACTACAGGAGGGTGCCACCATGCCATGCTATTATAACATAGACTTACACAATGTCATAATTACAATAAATTTCGATAATAAATTAATAACAATAATAATGAAACAAACAATAAATCACAATACAGATCAAATAGTGTATAAACGAGAAGGCTCAGAAGCAACCTACTAATGAACTGTTCATATACAGCTATGTCTCATGGAAAGTATGATCAATCATTCTCCATATCCACGTCAGAGAGAACAGAAGTTATATCTAATTTTTTCCCCCTCAACAAAAGATGTCTGGTCAGATGGCAGCATTTCCTGAGACAGCACTGTCAGGCCCTGTTGTCGGTTGCGGTGGCAGCACTATGGGACGCCCCGGCCTGGGGCAGTAAAAAGTGCAGCAGCCTCCGCCGACCCCCTCCCTGAGGGTTTAGGCACGATATGGCGATTTATCAATAAGCCTTTCTGGTGCTCCTAGTAACTAAATACCCTAACAAGTCTGAATCTAATTGAGTCTTTTCCAGATTTCATCCTTCCTCCAGCCAGCATAAAGGGGTATTCTTTCAAGTATCCAAAAGACTAGGTTTATTACTGCTGGATGGTAAATGGTCATCTAAGGTGACACCATTTGATTCTAGAGAAAAAGAAAGAAAATGTTGGGTCTTTTAAGAGCAGGAAAAGTCTTTTTTAAGTAAAAACACAAAATCCATCAAGACCTAAGAAAACAGATGCACATCAAATCCTCTTATATGAAATACAGAAATCTTTTCCAAAAGGTCCAGAAGAAATAATTTGTTAAGAAATGAAAGCAAAATAACTTTGGGACACTAAACCTTTTTTTTTTGAACTTTAAAACCTTGATGTCATCCTCATGGAAAAGACCTTTAAAAGACTTGAAAATTCACCTTAAGATAGTCTATTCACAGCTCAAAATCTGACACAGTCTGACAAAAATGTTAGAATGCCAAGTTCACTTTAGAGCTTACATCTGTTATAATCTGCCGCAAATTTATGACACAGTGCATCTATCAAACACAGCTGGTCCCGCTGCCCTTCTACCAAAGAGTATTCTGTCCACTTTAAGAAGCTCACCTTTCCATCTTTAAAAGAAAAAATTATACTTGTGATTATAGAAACAATAAAAATTAAAGCAGAAAATCCGTGCAATGCCCCCTAATTCTCTTTAACATCAATCTTAGGTGGACAGCAAAGGGCAAACACAAAACTATCACAAAAAAGCAGGGGGTCGGTGGACCAGCACAAACCTGCTGCTGAGGGTACTGCATTCCGCCCATGGCCCCGGGAGTCCGACCCTGGATGCCAATTGGATACCGCTGTGGGCCTGGGGGGCCATAGGAACCTCCTGGATATGGACTGCTCTGCTGAGGCTGAGAATGAGGGTTACTGCCCATGCCATACAACTGAGGTCTCTTCATCACCATTGGATCCATTGGGCTGCCCTGTGAAGACATAAAAGAAGTCGGTTTATTAATTCATTCTTTATTACAAAGGCAGAAATTTTTGTTATGTTAACATATGCATTAATAACACAACTATCCTTAAGTTTTGAAAATATTAAAAACCATGACCTGACAAAAAAATTCAGAAAGGCATTAGGGAAAAAATCTAGATGGATACAAGAAATTTTATTTTTTACTTTTAGGAAGGTTTTAACAAGTAAGAGAGCTCTGGAGTAAACAATACTAAAAAAGATTTTGGACCATAAGCAGAGAGAAAACATTTGCATCTAAAATTCTATTATGCGTACAGGAAAAGAGCATGCTAGTTAAGCTCACCCACCTCCTTTTAGCTTACTAGTAATAAAAGAGCAGAGGGTATTGAGTGATTAACATTTTCTGCCTTCAAAGTATTCTTAGAACAATGATTTTATTTTACAACTGAGACTGCAAGTCTTGATCAAACCTTAGTGCAACCGAGTGTTCATTAAAAAGTGAAAAGACAAATTTTAGATCATGCACATGTCCAGGGTAAGATTTTGTTCAGAGACCAGCAGTGTGTAGGGATGAGCACCCAGACTATGAGTCACAGCACCTCTCCCCATGTAAATCAGCATCTTACCAAACACAACCAGTTCACAAGTAGACGCTGAATTTTATTTTTGGTTTGGTGAGTCAGGCCCTGGGCTTCAGGGCCGAGGTCATACAGGAGGGCTAGGAGTGGAGCCTCAGCCCTTCACGTCTCGGGGCGTCAAAGGAACAAAGCTATGGGCAGGAAGGCCCTCACCCGGTGCTACAGAAGCAGGCAGCATTCACCCAACAGTTTCTTCCTTCCTTCCTCTGCCCTTCCAAAACCACATATTGATCCCTACTGTGTGCCAGATGCTGCGTTCACACTGAGGTAAGTACACGGGGACTTTCGGGAAGGCTTAAGAATTAGCAGGGTAAGTTGAAGACCATTCGGGCACCATCACAAGACCCTGTCTCTACAAAACTTAAAAACTTAGCCAGGTGTGGTGGCAGGCACCTATAGTCCCAGCTGTTCAGGCGAAGGCAATAAGATCGCTTGACCCCAGGAGTTTGAGGCTGCAGTGAGCTATGACTACACCACTCCGCTCCAGTCTGGGCAACACAGTGGGCCCCTCTTAAAAAAAAAAAAAAAAAAAAGAGGCCGGGCACGGTGACTCACACCTGTAATCCCAGCACTTTGGGAGGCCGAGGCGGGCAGATCACTTAAGGTCAGGAATTCGAGACCAGCCTGACCAACATGGTGAAACCACATCTCTACCAAAAATACAAAAATTAGCTGGGCGTGGTAGTGCATGCCTATAATCCCAGCGACTCCAGAGGCTCAGGCAGGAGAATCACTTGAACCCAGGAGGCGGAGGCTGCAGTGAGCCAAGATCGTGCCACTGCACTCCAGCCTGGGCGACAGAGCTAGACTCCGTCTCAAAAAAAAAAAAAAAAAAAAGAAAGAATTCCCAAGATAAAGAGGAATAACACGTCCAAGGTAGGAAGGAACAGCACGTACAGTACACAGGGCAGAAGAAACAGCTCAAGGCACTGGGTCAAGAAAGATGAACTGCCTGGTGTGTATCAGGAAATAAAAACCGTCTGGATCCACGTGAAGCACGAATTTGCAAAGAAGATGCTGAAGCGGGCAGAAGCCAGAACATGGGTGAGCCCTACAGGGCATTCTACAGGCTCAGGCTGCCTCTGACAGAAGAACACAGGACTGCTCCCTTGGGCACCCGACCCAGCTGGAAGCAGGTCACGTTGCCCTTTCAGGCAGGTGAGGCTGAGGTCCTGAACTGGCAGCAGTGGTGGGAGGAAGCAAGCCCAGCTCCAAGGCACAGTTAGGAGGGAAATGCGGCAGGATTTGGAGACCGAATGAGTGATGGAAGCCAGGAGTCAAATGAGATGGAGTGTGCAGAGGGAGAAGCCAATCACCGTATCCCCAGGAGTGGGAGCCTTCAGTGGTCTACACAGGAAACTTGAGGCTCTGATATGAAATCCAGGTGAAAATACCCAGAAGGAAGAGACACAATGAGCTGCAGCTTGGGGAGTAAGGCCTGACCTAGAAAAACAGGTAGAGAAGTCAGCAAAGAGGACATACACTCCCAGAGAGCGGGGATTTTCTCTGTTTTATTCACTATGATATCTCCAGGGCATAAGCTGAACAGTGTACCCAGCACATTAATTGATGAATTAATCAATAGGAAGCAATAAAACCCATGAACTTTATTTAGGAGGAATATATGAAAGGAAAACAATGGGTAGTGAACAGAATCCTAGAGAATATCACCGCTTAAGGGAAAAGGGAAAATGAACCCACAGACAAGCTGGAAGAATGGTCAGAAAATGTAGAGACTCTGGAGAGTGTGGTATTACACGAGGGAAGGGAGCCAGGTGTAGCAACGAAACAGGTGTACCAAATGCAGCCCAGGAATGCAGTCAGGTGAAGGGTAAAGGTTTCTGCTATACTCGACAAGAAGGCCACTGCTGTGCTTGGCAAGGACAATCTCACTGCAGAAGTGAGGGCTGAGGCTGGAAGAGGAGGAACGGAGGGGAGGTGAAGACGGAAGACAGGAGTGCAGACCCTGAGAACTGCCAGTCCTCCCTTCCACCGGCACTCCCACTCCAAGGCTGCATGGGTCCTTCCCATTCTCTTTCTTCCTCAATATTCTGGTGTTCACTTTAAGGATTTGGTGAATCCATTCACCACACATTTACTAAGCACCTACTGTGTGCGTTGTGCCCAGCACTGGAAGCAGAAAGATTAACAAGCTTCCATGTCCTGGAGATTCACTGAAGGAGACAGACTGAACAGGTCACAGTGCAACACAGCAGCCATCCAGAACGGACAAAGTACCAAGGCAAGGCGATAAGAGGGTGTCTCACTGGGTCTGTCATGGATGGGTTTTAACAAAGGCTTCCTATAGGAAATACCTGAGCTCAGCCCCGAGGGATCCACAGGAATGTGCCAGGAACCCATCTCACCTGAATGAAGCTCTGTGGAGGACACAGGAGGAAAGAGGGTGCTTTGCTCCAGGACCCACAGCCTACAAAGAACTGTTCTGCTCAAAATTCACCATGTGATGCAATTTTAAACTGTTAGTACTTTCACCAGCCAAGACAGTGTTTGGACTTAAAATGACAGAAATTAAATGACAGTACATTTTTTGCCCAAACAATATACTGATTTTGCACAACCTGAGTCACCTTCGTAATTAAGTGTACAAACATATATGTTGATATATTTGTAATAAAACTAAAATCTAGGGCTAAGAATTCATTTTCTCATAATTATTTAAACTAGAATTTATGCCTGATAAAAATAAAATGTGATTATTTTCTAGATTTTCCTGAAAAGGGTAAAACTTTTTACGGAAGTATGAAAATCAGGGCTGAGTTGGTGATTTCAAAATCAGCCAACTGAATGAAGGGCCTATGGAGAGGCTGAGTAAATCAAATTTCAGGCTAAATTTCCAATACGGGGCCCTGAGGCAGTCCTATCTTCACATTCAATCTAGACAGCCCAGGGCATAGGAAACGTCTACTTATTTCTCTTCAAATAGTGCACGACCAAAACTGCCTTAATTAAAGCAGAAATGTTGAACGGGAAAATGATTGGAATGTCTATGTTTTAATGCTATAGATAACAGTGCAGCAAATTCATCTTATCAGTGACTAAAATTGTTTTGTAATATCTCTCTCATCACTGCCATCAACTCTCACAGTCCTACTTAAAATTCAGTTAATTTGCACCATGTCAAAAATGTTAGCTTAACCCTGAGATTTCTGAAAATTGAAAGCATGAAATACACAGATTATCTGAACCTCTCAAAATGCATCAAATATCTTTCAACGAGACTTCAGATAGAAAAACAGATACTCATACAGTGCAAATTATTTAATTTTAACCTCTCCTTATGGCCTATTATTAAATATTCATCCACAGTCCAAATCCATCCTGCTGTGTACTACTCTCACTATTTTGAGCATTAAAAATGTACAACTGAGGGTCTCAACTCTTGCTTCTCACTACTAGTCCCTTGAAGAAACCAAAAGCTGGCCGGGCACGGTGGCTCACACCTGTAATCCCAGCACTTTGGGAGGCTGAGGCAGGTGGATTGCCTGAGCTCAGGAGTTCAAGACCAGCCTGAACAACATGGTGAAATCCCGTCTCTACTAAAACACAAAAAATTAGCCAGGAGTGGTGGCAGGCACCTGTTATCCCAGCTACTCAGAAGGCTGAGGCAGGAGAACTGCTTGAACCTGGGAGGCAGAGCTTGCAGTGAGCCGAGATCGCGCCACTGTACACTCCAACCTGGGCAACAGAGCAAGACTCCGTCTCAAAAAAAAAAAAAAAAAAAAAAACCACAAATCTAGGACTTCTGGAAAACAGAAAGGCCAAGCTGCTACTCATATTCACATCTAATCTGAAGCAATTTTAAGTTTTTTGTTTTGTTTTGTTTTTTAAGACAGGGTCTCACTCTGTCACCCAGACTGGAGTGCAGTGGTGTGATCTCAGCTCACTGCAACCTCCACCTCTCGGGTTCAAGTGATTCTCATGTCTCGGCCTCCCGAGTAGCTGGGATTACAGGCGCATACCACCACACCCAGCTTACTTTTGTATTTTTTGTAGAGACAGGATTTTGCCATGTTGGCCAGGCTGTTCTCGAACTCCTGACCTCAAGTGATTCGCCCGCCTCGACCTCCCAAAGTGCTGGCATTACAGGCATGAGCCACTGTGCCCGGCCAATTTTATGTATTTTTTTAACATTTATCTGGGTATGACCATTTTCATTTCTCACTGAAACTTTATGTTCTATCAGGGTTATCATCCATATCAAAAACAGTTCTCAACAACTTCTCTAAATAGGTTATCCAAGCATGTTTTCATTTCTAGATGGCATTCCACAACTGCTGCAGCTTGAGTTTCAATTCCAGAAAATAAGACAAGTGCTGTGAAGGCCACAATATATACACCACCATTTTCAAA